GGTACTCTAAAGAACAGTGTGTCTGCCTCCAGCTTCACATCTCTAAACATCATACTCCTCCTTTAGTAAATTCTCAGTCCCACAGAAATATCCTATTATATGTTTGATTGCTGCCCAGCAGTACCTAGGCCTTGCAGAGTGAGAAGAACCTGTCAGGAAGTTGAAACTTCTGCAAATTAGAGAATCTTGTCAGCACTAGTAATTATTATTAACAATAGAATGAATGATAGCAGTACTGAAGAGGATTACTCTTGATTAGTGTCAAAAAAGACTTTTGCCTGACCAAACTGACTGCAAAGACATAGTCAACATCTTTGTTAATGGTTTGTTAAAAAAATAAACAATGGTTAAATTAATTTCTTGCATTTACATTCTATTTTGAAAAAATACGCGATGGAGTCCAGCATCACAGAAGAGCTAGATTACAGCTGCAGAAAGGTGTGCTTGTGTGCCTGTGTGATTCCAGTTTCAGTTGACTACTACAAATCTCTTCTGAAGTGAGGAGCAAAACAAAATGGTCAGCAAGAAGAGTCATGTGATTGAAGTCTATTAAGTCAAAGTTAGTTATATTAACCACATTTCTGCATACATTTTTACATTTTTTGTATTTACCTCCTCTAGGTTTTATGACCATTTTCCCAGGCAGGCAAGATGCAGGAAACTCATTAAGCCAACTGACAGGTACAGTGAAATTGGTTAGACACAAAGTCCCCTTAGTCATTTCAAAGACACTGTTTGTTATTACTACAAGTTAAGTAAAACAGTTTCAGATAGCAGTAGGACTTCAGGGTTGACTTTGACCTCTCTCAGTTATGCAAACTGATTGTATATAGTACATCCATTATTGACAAATAGGCGATTTTGTCAGCATCAATGAAAAAGAAGAAATTTATTAGATATAACATGACGATAAAAATATAGCTGAGTTCTGGGGATGGCATACTGGACTTCTCTCCTGACTCAGAATCTGGAAGGGGATATTAACTAGAGAACTTCTTTCCCTTTGATTTTATTCCTTTGATATCAATTCATTCTGAGCAAGTTGGACCCAATTCTGTAGGTCAGTTTCAATTAATAGTTGAACAGATGAAGTTTCACATGTTACTTAAATCTGTAAAAATATTCTATTTTACTCTTAAGCATAGGTGCCTCAGGTTTCAGAGGTCATCATAAAGCAGTTGTTTTTTTTCTAACTTTTCTTGTTTTGAGGGAGGGAAGCCAGAAGAAAATTGCCTTTTCCTTATTAGAAAGCACATGAAGCTGTAACTTCTCAATAGATAATTGTCTGGTAATGAAAAGTACAAGTATACTTGTTTAGGTGATGAGTGGCTCTGGAAGCTCTGTCTGCTTTGGCTTCCACAGAACTATAAAGCGCTAAATACCTTTATTTATGTGCTTACATGAATGAAAAAAAACAGAGCAATTAAAATTAAGACCTTTTAATTTGTTCACAGAATAGTTATTGAGAGATACTTTTAAAATCTGTGATGGCTCAAAAAAGAAATAAGATCTGAATCCTGCTTGTAACTTCCTGACATGGATACCACACAAATGAAAATGTATTATTTGTCGCCCAGACAATTAAAATTACAAGGGCTGGTACTTGTGAAGAAAAAGCTGGGGAAGGAAAAATATAAATCAGATATTCCTTGACAAAGTCTTTGAATAAAAGAACTTGTGTCAACAAATCTGAACTACATTTACGACCCTGTTAGAGATTATGCCAGTTCAACGGCCAAAGGTATAGTTCTTAACCCACAACAAAGTTACTTATTAACCCAAGTGCAAACCTGTACATGATGATACTTTATAACTTTCTCAATAACACATCTGCAGCCAGCAACTTAAAAACCTCTTTCTGACATAGCAATGATTGAAACCATTAACTAACCTCAAATTCCACTTTTCCCCCTTCAATTTATAAATGTATTATAAATAAGATTAACAAAAGTAGTTGCAATTACAAATACAGTCAAATGAGCATATCTGGTGATGGCCCAAGTCAGTCCTGAACTCAACCCATTAACATATCAATATTTTTAGCTATTGTCTCTGCTGAAATAGTATACTCGCTAATATTTTGCTGATCTCTCTCAACAAAATGTCATTAAGCCACTATGACTAAAGATATTGCAAATTCAGAGAGGTATTCAGTAGAGATAAATATAATCAGCCAGGAACAGCCTCTTCCCAGAGGGTCTGCAAGTAAGGACCTTCTTCCACAGGTATAGAAATGACAATATTCTGAAAATTGTACAAGACAAACAGTATAGTCAGTTTGCTGCCCTAAAGTGCTTTCTGTATTAGAGTGGCACTTGTGGGGCAGGTGTGAAACAGTGTGGCTAGGCAACACAGCTGATTTATAAATAGGAGACTGCTACCTGCCTAAACAAAATTAGAGGCAAGTGCTATAAGCATCTATTATCAGTTAAAAACCACCCCACTAATCTAGTTCCAGCAGAAAGCTATGTTGGCACTAAAAACCCTGTGTACAAATCTAGGAGCACAAATTAAAATTACTTAAGCTTCCCTACATGGTATATAGTGGGCTTTTGCTAGACTACTACTATTATTCTCTTGAAATTTGGCCTCCTGTTTTTCAGTCTAACACAGAGCTGAAAGTCTGTAGCAATAATAGCAGACTACCTAAAGATAAATCACTGTTATTTCATAGTTCCAATTAAAAATGCTGGTTTTTTGTTTTTTTTTTTTTTAAATGAGAACTGACAGGACACAGTATCATGATTTACTGCCATTTATTTGAATCTGTCTGTCACCTTATGACTTATGAACATTTTTATAGCATAAGCAGACTAAATAAACATACATATTAAAGGAGACAAACAAATACACACATTTCAATAAACTGGGAAAAAGACCTGCCATGATCCCATGACCCAAAATAATACAGCTTTCATAAACTGAAAAGAACTACATTTTGGATAAAATCTGTTTTCAAAGTGGAATTTCTGGAAAATTCCCTTAGCTACATCAACCCAGTGTTGTGATTAAACTGAAATAAAACAGATTTCTACTGTATGAGGAGAGTTACTACCTGAAAGATACAGATCTCTAATAGCTCAGAAAGAGTAATATGAAACAATATTTTCACTGGAAAAGAAGAGTCAGTAGTACAGTTCTTTAATAAAAATAAGAGGAATTTTTGATTTAAAGTTGTTACTTATCCTCTCATTAAAATACAAGTATTCAGGAAATGAGTAGCAAAGCTACTAGACTTTCTGACTGATGACACACTCATATGACCTATCTGTGAAGATAAGGACTTCTGACTGTTTACTAACAGGAACTGTTTACTGTTAGTTACAAATTACCTGTGACCGTTTTTTTTTTGTTTTTCAGGGTATGCAACAATGAATTACAAGTCAGAATGAAATGAATAAAACCTTAAAAATATTTTTTCAAGTATGTTAGGACAATCTTGTTCATCCACTATTAAACGAATGCTTTGAAAGTAAAAAAATACCTGAAAAGACAGTATCTACTTACAGGAAAATTATCTTACATATAGTTGCCAGAAAGGCATATTCTCCTCCCTATCTAAAGCAATTCAATCTATGAAGTCATAAAACCTTCTGAGTGTCTTACTGTCGGGAACACAGGTGATGTAGGGAGAAAACAACATGTAGAGATTTAGAAGTACATCAACAGGACAGTAGCGAAAGAAAGTCAGTCAATCGTCAAAATGAAAACATGTCTGCTGAGTCAATTGCTACTAAATACAACTTTTCATTGTACTGGTAGATAAAAAACTGGACATGAGCCGGCAGTGTGCACTCACAACCCAGAAAGTCAACTGCATCCTGGGCTGCATGAAAAGAAGCACGGCTAGGAGATCAATGGAGGTGATTCTCCCCCTCTACTCTGCTCTCATATGTCCCCACCTAGAGTACTGTGTTTAGCTCTGGTGTCCTCAGTACAGGGAAGACATGGACCTGTTGGAGTGGGTCCAGAGGAGGGACCCAAAAATTATCAAGAGGGCTGGAACACCTCTCCTGTGAGGAAAGGCTGAGAGTTGGGGTTGTTCAATCTAAATACAAGAAGGCTCCAGGGAGACCTTATTGCCACCTTTAAATACTTAAAGGGTGCTTATAAGAAAGATGGGGACAAACTTTTTAATAGGGCCTGTTGTGGTAGGACAAGGGGTAATGGGTTTAAACTAAAAGAAGGTAGATTCAGACCAGATATTAGGATGACATTTTTTATGATGAGGATGGTGAAACACTGGAACAGGTTGCTCAGAGAGGTGGTACATGACCCATCCCTGAAAACATTCGAGGTCAGTTTGGTCAGCGCTCTGAGCAACCCCATCTAGTTGAAGATGACGTTTAAAAGTCCTTTCCAACCCATACTATTCTATGCTTCTATGATTTGCATCTTCCTAGGCAAAATAAGGACATTTTTAAACCACAGAGAGTTTTACTCCACGCATTAACTGTGACAATCAGGTCAAAAAATCCCACCATCTTGCTCAGAAAACATGCAACTCATGTCCAACAGGAAACAGCACAATCCATTTATTTCAACAATGTAATTGTTCATGACAAACAAGAGTGTATTTATAACACTGAACAGTGATCAAGGCTCTTTTCTCCTGTTTCAGGACACAAGACATTTCTATCACATTGATGTTGGAGACAGTGAATTAGGCACATTGAAAACAAGTGGTTTCACTGCTCTCACAGATTGTGGCTAAGTTCTCTCCCTTCCCATTGCTGAAAGTTTATCCTCTAATAAGTAATTCTCAAGACATCTTGCAATAGGAAGCATTCATGAATGAAAGCATTAATAAATGTTTCCTATTGCAGGGACCACTAGGAATTCTTTACTATAATTATAAGGAGTTTACAGACCTTTATTAGTAACATAAAACCCCCCAAATTTGCTTTTTCTTAACATACTATTCTGCTCCTTTTCAAAACATCACAGCAGACAACTAAACACTAGCATGAAACAGAGCAAATGACCCTGTATGTACTTACCATGTACCACATGCTTGGCCACTTGGGATCATTGAAATAAGTGGATTGGGTACCACCAGGCTTATAATCCCTCTTTATCCTTCTTTTAACCACCTGCTGTTGTATCCACTCCACCTGCCAACAAGGAAAACATATGGGAAGTGTTAGGGTTCCGTGGAGATTATCAAGAAATGTGTGAAATCTTGGGAAGTTTCCCATTACCATAGTCCAAGACATATTTCATGTTAAAGACTTCATTTTGGCAGTGGGAAAGCACAGCTCACCTTGGCATACTGTTCACTAAGGAATATGTCCAATTTAGTTAGTGTTACAAATCTCCCTGAACAACTATTTAAATCCCCTGCTAGAAGGACTTCATTGGCTATCATATTTTGAATGCTATTATTTTATAGGTTTTCATTATTAGTGTGTCTTTCAAATTTATAAAACCAGTTATTTTTACAAAATGTAACTGTATATTACAATGAGAAATTAATTAAATTTCTGACAGTTTATGGGGGTTTTGCTGTTTTCATTTCTTTTTAAATTTTGATTTAAATCTATTCCCCCAAACAAAAACAATCAGAAAAATATTCAAATATTTTGTTGAACCAATATCAAAATCACCTTCATCACTTGGAATGGAAATACAAAATTGAACTGTATTTTTAGCACAGTGACTCTTTGTCAAGATTCTCTCAGCCAGGCACTCTGGAACTTTATTTTATACTAAGTTCTCAGCAGGGAGAAACAGCTGGGTACTGAGCAACAGGTCAAATTACAACAACAACCACCAAAAAAAGCCTGAAACGGGAAAATAAACATAACCATTAAAAATCTAGTTCTGAAAGTTATATTCTTGTCTGTCTGACATATCTACAAAGATTCATGACACATCTAGAAAGGGTGACACCAACAGTGACATCAACCTTAGAGCAGACAGCACTCAAGTTATTTCTGCATTAGCTATTCTAAATGGGAGCTAGTTTCTCTAAACGTAAATAATATAAGCTATACACAGAGAAACCCAAGTTATATTTACACACATCTAGCTTCCCTGACAGTTATATTTCTGCTGAATTGTTTCATGAGATATAACTATAAAATTCAATTCACCCCTCCGAGCAAGACAGCCATTTCCTACTAGCAGGCAACTCTGCACCTTTTATTTGTGATGCTTATGAGTATCTGTGTGTGCACATAAACTGTGAGTATATCAAAGAAGTTTACTTCCAGCTCATATTTCTTTGACACTTTGACACCCTTAGCAGGCTAATCCCTCTGCTGTGGACCCATTCAAATTCTAGGCAGACACAGGTCCATTGACAGTAACATAAATTTTGCTTGAGATGCATACCAGGATTATCTCTTCCACCTTTAGAATACCACTATGGCCTCTTACTTCTTGGTCAGATGAAAATACAAGGAATCTCTGAATTCATCATGAGAGGATTCCTACGACACTCATAGAGGTTGGCAAGGCCTCATGGTTTTCTTTATAAAGAAGAAAAGATTTTTTCCCCTTCTCAATTATTAACTTCAGAGTCAAGAGTATTATTCTAGAGGATAAATTATGCAGATTAAGAATACAGACTATCAGGTAGTGTTCACACTTAAATCCATTTCTCTGTTAAATCTTCTAGGAAGAGTCATAGATCCCTTTCTACTTCTACAAGAATTGAGAAATTCGATAGTGTGCCTTTCTCTCCTGGTTGCTGTACTCCTGGTTCAGCTCAGGCTGAAACTCATTTTGATGCATGCCCTTTCAAGAAGCCAAGAGCTGACTGCCCCCTTCAGATCTTACAGGATCCAGAGGTTCCTTCATCAGGAGCAGACAGCTAATCAGTCTTCAGCACCATTTGATGTAACAAGGTCTGGAGGCCTGTAAGATACAGAGTGTATCTGGGCAAAGTCCAAACGAGGGAAAACCACAAGACTTTGGTAAGCACTAAGCCTTATGGCTGCTTTAAAGGGGGATCAAGAATCCTCTTAACTAGATCTCTCATCCATGAAAAAGGCAGATTTATAACTGACATGATGAACGCTAATACCTTGTCACTTGCTGCTAATATGTTTTCTTTTCTAGACTCTCACAACAGATTTTCTTCAAAGCTTCTTTCCTTGCAGGTAGTCCAGACCTCTTAACACATCTGAAGCCAACTGAAAGGCATCTTATGTACCATTTGACCTCTGACTACGCAGCTGCCTGAATTGCCATAGGTCATGGACCTCACTTCTATTACTATTATTTAGCAACCCATAATAAAAAAGCTTCAACAGGTCTGAATAAGCAATCATGGCCATCAGGGTATTCCATTATGAAGATCCACCTTCTAAGCCTTATTACAACATTTGGGTCTCAGTGCCAGAACCATTTTCAACTGAGTGAGGGATCTCAGTCTTCCATGCTGTAAGAGTATTTACTGTGATCTTGACTCATCCTTAGCTGTAGGAATTAATCACATGAGTACGTTACCACATTGAAAAAGTTGTTTAAGTCAACAAATTTCAACACTGCACAGGCCAAGAGCGCACAGAGCACATGAAACGCATGGTAACTCATTACAAAAATGGATTCATATCTTGAGTCTGCAGGGAAGAGTTACAAATTCCTACTACCAACACAATCTGAAAATCTGATAGTGTCATAGAAGTGTCCACAAAGAAAAAAACAATGAGATAGACTCTGCAGAAGAGGATTTCTACCAATGCTACTTCTGATTTAGATGCATGAACATTAATGGAAGAAGATAGTCTTCTACTAACACTACTGTTGCCTAGAAGAGCTGTAAATCAGAGACCCAGGGCATTTAATTTACCATTAAGGACTCCTGTGCATCACGGCCTCTGTAAGAACTATCATCATCAACTGTGAGTTTTTGAAAAACACCTTTGTTTTGTAAATGGAGCCAGAGGAGTGTAAAATATACCAGGAGCCCATGCAACACAGGTTTAAGTAGAACTTCAACAACCTAATACCATTTCTATATGGATGAATGAAAAGGATTTTCCTGACAAGGCAAATTGCAAAACTCTACTATCCACTGTGAAAATATGTTGCCTTCATTTATTTACTGCCTATTCAGCTGCAAATATCTGCTGACCACTAAAAAGACTGAAACATAAAGGCAGCATAGTACTTCTGGAGACTGATACATGCATACACTGATGCCTCAAAAAACTGCCCAGTTAAATCCTTTTCTCTGTTTTCTTTACTGCAGACATTATTGAGAACACTTATCAGCTAGTTATTTAGTCTAAGCAACGTTAACACTGTGTCACTCTACAATTCCAGTTTACTGAAACAATGATTTGACCCATAAAGAATTTTGTATATATGTGGGTATTTATGTACAAATATACATATATTTGTACAAGATTTTGTATCAACTGAGTTAATCTGCAAGCCTGTAGTACAGTAGGTGGTAAGATTTTAGTGAGTTATGGATAAATATTTTTTTGTATCTTATCTACCACCTTTTAGCAAAAAAAGTGACTGTACTCTAGATTAAGTATCTGTTGCAGGGCCTGCCCCTATTACTCCTATTTCCTCAGCTCCTAGCAAAGTTAGGGAAAACATACGAAAGAGTAATTCTGCAGAAGGCCTGTGCAGCTTGCGCTATCAGACCCAAAGCCAGAAAAAGAATTATAATTTCTTGTCTTCCCATAAGACCTAGTGACAACTTTATGTATGCATATAATTACTATAAATAAAACACCCATTTGATTTCATACAGAGTGGGATAAATTACATGCTTGCCAGAGCATGCATATGGGAAGATAGTGCAGGTAGCTCTCTAATGATGGAATGGAATGGAACAGAACAGAATAGAACAGAATAGAATAGAAATAATATAATATTTTTGTTGGAAGGGACCTAAACAAATAATCTAGTCTAACTGCCAGGGCTGACCAGTAGTTAAAGCCCCGTAGGGCTGTGTCTACATACCTCTTAAACACTGACAGGCATGGGGCATTGACCACCTCTCTAGTAAACCTGTTCCAGTTTTGACCACCCTCTTGGTGGTGTAATGTCCAGTCTAAACCTTCCTTGGTGCAGCTTTAAAACACCCCCATGTGTCCTGTTGCTGGATCCCAGGGATGAGACCAGCACCTCCCTCTCTACTTTCCCTCCTCAAGAAGCTGTAGAGAGCAATGAAGTTGCCCCTCAGCCTCCTCTTCTCCAAGCTAGACAAACCTGGTGTAAAACATTAGGATTCACTTCAAGCACTACAGATATCCACATGAGTGAAAGGGAGAAGTCAAAATGATCATTCCCAGGCTATGACTGTGCACTGCTATGAGGGAGACAGTAAAGGATGCTAAACAGAGTAACCTGAAATATCACAACATGCTTCATCACAGTCCTGATATATAGCCTGGTCTGGCAGATTTTTATCAAACACCTTATGTTGAGATCTGCTTACTAATTTTTTTTTATTCTGAGGATGTTCTGATACAGCCATCTAGAATATAGCTTAAAATAGCACAGGAAGACAATTTTCTCATCTGAAAAGACAGTGGACAAAATTTGGTTTATAGAAAACATCATTGCTATATAAATAGAATATCTTACTCCACTGAACCATAGAGTTTGGGGTTTTTCTCTAATAAGTGAAAAGGAAAACTTGATAGTTTTAAGTTAAATTGTACAATCACTGGGTTAAGGAACATAAGGTCAAGACTCAGCAGTTATACTAGTGTTCTGACATACATTTCCTTGGAGTATTTTATGAGTATTCATCCACATGTCACTGTCAAATGCCTGGTATATCTTGGATTTGTTTGATTCCATATGAAAAGAACTCATTTGTATAAAAATATTTTCTTTTAGAAAATATCCACACTTACTAACCCAAAGCTCTTGAAGGAAAATCTCTGTAGTAATTGATTATACAGATTCCCATTTCTTGCCAGAAGGAGACTCTATGCAAACAATGAGGTGCATTTTAACATTTCCATAAAGTCACACTTACTGAGGGGGAACAGTGCACATTTTCCCATTGACTTCAGCATCAAAAGTTCCATTTCCTGAATGTCTAGAAACCTAAGCCAAGCCAGATTGGAGACCAAACTTTTTTTTTTTAAAAAAAAAATCAACCATTTCCAGTCTCCTCACTAAAGCACTCACAAGG